GCCCTGAGTCCTTCGGGAGAAGGGCGGGATATAAATTGAAATAATAAATAAATAATAAATAAATAATAAATTGGCTATATGTTAAGCTGCTTAGCTGGTATGATAGGATTTTGATATTAGTAGATGTACTGTCCTAAAATGAGCTGAGTTCTTTTTAAATTACAATTATAGCCAAGAGGCTATAGTGACTGAGCTTGAGTGTCTGATTTAAATGTTTCTTTGTCTTCCATTTTAAAAGGTGTTATTCCTCCTTATCTACACAGGTAAGCCTATTGGAATGCAGGCATTCAGCTGCATATATTTGACCTAGGAACTGTGCCCAGCCTCTAAAACTAGATAGGTGAAATCTTTCAAAGCCTATCAGACTAAGCCACTATAATATGACCTTGTGATATTGGATGCAGTTAGCAAATTGTCACTTATGTTGAATGTTTGTTTCAGGACTATTTTACAGATTTAATCACCAATGACAGTATCAATTATTTCAAAATGTCTAAGAGGACATATCCCCATAGACCTATAATGATGGTGATCAGCCATGCAGCTCCCCATGGCCCAGAGGACTCTGCACCACAATTCTCTGAGCTGTATCCAAATGCTTCTCAGCACATGTAAGTGAAACTTTATACTGTGAACATGCTGGGGATTTGCCACTTCATTGCTGACTGCCCTTTTCAGGTGTGTAATGAAATGGAGAGTTGATGTCTTACATAGCTTCAGCCAGTCACCTTCTTGCTCTGCTTCAGTTCTTTGAGGGTTCAATGAAATACTCTAGAATGTTCTATACTTATATGCGGGTCCTATATTTTCTACTTTTTGAAAAGCATAATCTTTTTTGTTTGAGGAAAGCCTTGTGAACGCTTTTGGCAGTATGAAATACTGTGTTGTCATTTGGCTTGGTGTGTGGACTGTAGATGCCTAAAGCAGTTGGAACACCTTTTTCTTCCATCTTTCCTTTTTTTCTCCTTGGGGTTGCCTGCATTTCTTTCCATTGTCTCTCTGAACATTTTGTCTCCTTTCTGTACAATTGATATTACGTTTGCACTAAAACTTGATGGAAGAGAAATAGATAATGTTTTGGTGTTGTGCAGTGGATTGTACCTATTCATGGTGATAGATGTGGATCACATATTTGCATGCTTCTCTATTAAAAACCACTGAGTAAAACATACAGAATTAGTATGAATTAACATAGCAGTGATCTTTCACATGATGTATTTGCTGATGCGTTTATAAAATATTTCAAAAATTTATATTTCAGAATTTTCCCAGGTTATCCTCCTATATGTATAAAACTAGGCCTGAGATAAATACAACCATGGTTGCACAAGAAAGAAAGCCAGTTTATTTCACCATTTTAAAACAATAAATGTAAAAAATATGTGCTTGGGATTTTGATATCTATTCTTCTTCCAATCCCACCCACACCTCCCCTGTTCTTACTTTGATATATTAATTGGTGTAATAAAGTGCTTTATTTTGAACTGTTTTAAGTGAAACTTTGTAAAATTGTTCATTTTGAATATTCCAGATGCAAAACATCTCCTTTGAAATAGCTCTGTTTCAAGCTTGCAATACTTTCAAAATAATTAAAAGAGCTTATTTTTGTACCTGAAATGGGGACATTTAAACTCTCAAGCATTTATTTTTGTCTATTCCTAGTTTTTAAACCCTAAATGTATTTCAAATAATCAGTACATAAATGTCATAATGGCTGACTGGTTGACTGAAGTTGCACAGTCAAGGAGGGAGTCAAAATAATTTTAAGATACAAAAGTTTCCCAACCTGTACAGGGTGAACCATAGATCATGCAGTCATGGAACAAAATGGTTAGACAGAATCATGGAGATCATCTAGCCTGGAGGTCCCCAACCCCCGGTCTGTGGACCAGTACCTGGCCATGGCATGCCAGCAACTGGTCTGCACAAACAAGCAAAGCCCCATCCGTGGGATGCAGGCAGCACACAAAACCACACACTCTCTGGTCCACGGAAAAACTTTTCTCCACTCTCCAGTCCCTGGTGCCCAAAAGATTGGGGACCTCTGATCTAGCCCAACTCCCTTTCCAATGCAGGAATGTACTGCTATAGCTATCTCTGACAGATAGCTGTCCACCCTGTTTAAACACCTCCCATAAGAACCTACCATCTCCTGAAGCAATTTGTTTCATTGTTAAACAGTTGTTAGCATTATGAAATACTTCCTGATATCCAATCAAAATCTTCCTAACTATTCCATATTTCTACATTAGAATCCTTTGGATTTTTGAAAACAGTTATCACAATTCCCCACAGACTTCTCCAAATTAAATATCCACAACTCCTCCAATTGTTTTCTCATAAAGGTTTTATTCCAGGTCTCTTAATCATCTTAATTGTTCTCTGGATGTGCTCCAGTGTGTCAGAGTTTGTCCAAACAGCACAGAAATGAGAGTACAAATGACTTTATATTTTCACAGTACTTCTGTTGATGCAACCTAGAGCTGCATTTGCTTTATTTCCACCTACACTGTTGGCTCATGTTCAAATTGTAATCCATCAAGATGCCCAGTTTCTCTCAGGATATATTGCTTCCCAACATAGTCTTTCCTACTCTACACTCATTCCTTTGGTTTTTCCTTTCCAAATTAAGTACTTATGTACAGTATATGTCATCCACATTATGTTTTCTATGTCCTCACTCAAAACATTAATAAATATATTAACAGTACAGAGCCTGGGAGCTTTGTAGTATTTCAACACCTATTTCCACTTGACCAAGAGCCACTCATGTAGGCACATTGGGGTTTATGGAGTTCTGTATCCATCTCCTGGGAGCAAAATCCAGTCCGCATTTTGCTATCTTCTCTATTAAGGTTTTGTGGGAGACTGGGCCACACTCCCTCTGACAGACTGTTTAGCCAACAGATTGCTTCTATGATCCCTCTTAGCAGGGAGTCTCTGATCTCCAGAGACTACTGGAATAGCAAATAGCTCTATTTAAGCCAAGCACTTACTTTTTAAATACTGAAAGGTTGACTTTCTAAAATTTTTGACTTTCTAAAAAGTATGCATTATCACTTCATCAGCTAACGTTTCTTCTCCCACCCCAAAAATAAACAGGATAGCAGACAGGATAGCAGGATGAGGCAGGGGAGGCAAGGAAGGGGTAGGAGGACTTGCTGAAGACTGTCAGACATGGCTGTGTTCTAAAAGTTTAATTAGAAGCAGATTTCATAGAGTGGTTGAAACTAAGGCCAAGTAATAGCCCCATTTAATCATTTTTAAAGCATGTAAGCTGTACTGTTCCCATCGCCCTCTACATATGGGGGAGGGGGTGTCTGCAGCTGAGAGACTCCACTCTCTGTGGAGGCTGTCTGCACAGTTGAGAGCTCTGATTGAGCAGGGTTTTCCATTAAATGAAAGGTCTTCATAGACAAAGGAAGCCCTCTTTTGCAATGAGTGGCCTGTTACCTGTTGGAAATGATGGAAGGCAAAGCAGAGTTAAAGTGTTTGTCTTCACACTTGCCCCCATTTTGCATGTGGTAATCTGTGCTCCCTTTAAAAATGATCAAAGAAGGCTCTCAGGCATTGAAGTTAACAGCCACTTCCACTCTTCTGTATTAGGAGATTGAGAAAAGTTTTGTCTGCACTGCACACTGTATGATATTAATATCTGAGCTTGGTAACCATGGAAACTTTTGTTAAACTCAGTATGCATTCCTGCAAATATGAAATAGTTGAAGCCAAAGTGATTTGTACTTAAATGATTATAAAAAGTGTGAAGGCACAAATCAGAAATCACTATTTTCTCCCAACCCAGCTGTCTTGAAATTCTGGGAGTATTATGCATCTTTTATTCAGTGGTTGCTGCAGGAGACAATGGAATATTTTGTTTTAATATTGAAAGACTAAACAAAGTAAGAGCTTATTTGGAGGTGTAAAAGAAGAAATGGAAGATAAACTGCCAGTTTACGTAAATAAATTGCTAAAGGAATGGTTTCTGCAGTTTAATATGCTGCTACCTTATCATGGCCAGATAACAAAGGAAAAAACCCAATGTGTCCCTGACTTTTCCTTTGGCATAGTTCATGAAAATAATGGCAAGAGCAATACAATCATTTAGTAAGAAGTGTCATCATTTGAATATTTAACTATTGAGGATTCTTCTCTTTTGGTGGTCAAACATATTTTGGCACCACTTTTTTCTGGGTGATGGGTTTAAATTTAAGCTGTCTGACTTTTTCTTTTTTGGTTTGTTTTATATTGTTAGACTAACAAATATATTCGTATAATGTTAACAATGGGAAGTAATATTAAAATGAAAGACAAAAGGATTGAAAGGCTAGGAAAAAATATGTACAAAAGAAATATAAAAAATGACTAAATTTTTGAAAGTTTTGTTCCTTGTTACTATGTTAGGAAAATAGTATAACTTGTTCATACTAAGACCTTAAAAATTTAGCCACAGTCCTTTATTTTCCATATTCCATATTGCAGTTTATTAACTTTTCCTTGTAGCTCCAAACTCTAACAATGTACAAAAAAACCAAATGTCTGATCAGGAATTAGGGGAAAATAGCTTGAAGTTAGAAATAAGCCCTGTAGAAAAGGGGGACAATTTTCAATGCACTAGTGTGACTTTGGTAGTGAAATTTAAAGAAAATACAGTTTGTTTATTTTTTCTTCCTTCCACAGGAGTATGGAAAGATTTCTGAAGGCCCTTAGCTGGTCTGATAACAAAAATGACTGAAAGGTCAATAAAATCTAAAAAATTATCTCACAATTGTATTTCTTCCTGTGGAAAATACTTCCTACATTCTTGTAATTTCTTAAGATAATTTGGACAGAACATAATATGGATCTCAGTCTGAGACATTTCCCAATAAAGGGCAAAGGCTTATCAGCTATACAAAAAGGAAAGGGTGGAATGCACAGAGCCCTCTCAGTTTCTACTGATAATCTTCTGGCAGAGCTAATATTCCACCTAATATGTTCTGCTTATTGTGGAATTCCAACCATGTGTAAGTTGCACTGGTGAGACTGAGATTTGAAAGACATTATTTTGGCCTGAAGTATAGCCTTCAATAATTCAGTTATGGATGTCATTAAAATCCTTGACTCAGAGCATTCTCTTTTCAGCAACACCCAATCAAATACGTACAGCACAAACAGTAGTAGCATTAGTATTATATTCTCCCATATAAGAATAGACATAACATCCTTCTTAATGTTGGCTGCAGCCATTTTCTTAGGGGCAAATGGGGCAGCTGAATAGACTGCCCCATTAATAGACTCTTCAGTAATCAAAACAGAAGATAAACTATTTTTCTGGCTCTAATCATGGCAATTATACAGAAACCAAGATAACAGTGCTTTAGGGAGTGGCATGGTATGTGCATGTTTGGTTTTATTTTATTTGTTTATTTATTTGAGTGGCAGAAATTGTGATGCTGTGCAACCATAGGAGCTGTCTGCTGCAAAGAATGGAAAGCAGAACAAATGTTGCTTGATAGCTTGGCAAACTTAGATGAAAAATTATCATTACAGTATTACTAAAGAACTATGATACAGTGTCTGTCTGTTAATGAGGAATGCCTGTTAATTAAGCAATCCCTTAATTACATGACATTCTTGCACCAGTAGGATTGTTGACACAATTTGGTTGAAATCAGTGGTTCTGTACCAAAACAAGTGTATTTGGATTTCAGAATAATGTCTATTTTTTTTCTTAAAAATGTAGGATCTGTTGCAATTTGTCATTGACTGGGAGAACAAACTTCCACTTTTTAAAAATGTGCACATGCATGAGCCCAAACCACATTCAGGATATCAAGTTCCTTTTTTTCTTGGGGATTAATTTGTCCTGGAAATTAATTTTCTTGGACAAAACATAATAAAATACGTTTTCTATTGTGCAGTCATAGGCACAAGTTCTTCAATTATAAATGAAAGCTCTATCTCTAGTTAAAATGAACTAAAATCCCATCATATCACAGTGAAGATGTTGTGCAATGATAGCAGTTGCAATCCCAACTAATCTATTTTCAGATCTATCTTTAGGGGAAAAAAGTTTTCCTCTGGAAACTAGAGGTCAAATATATTAGAAGAATAGGTGTGGACTTTGGGGTAACATTTTGGCTTTCTGTTAAGTGCTGACCAACATTGGCCTGTGCGTTTTTAGTTACAAAATAAATTGCATCAGTAAACCTAAAAAGGTTTGTGAGGTTTGACCACTCATTCTCAAAACAGCAATTATTACAACGGCTTCAGACCAAGTGAATATAATATTGGCATTATAAATATATAATCTGCTGGAAATCAAATATCAGAGTTGTCTGAAATAAACTAGCTATTAATTGTGATTGCTTACTCAACTGGTAATTTATGAGTATTCATTTCATAATCTTGCATTTTTTCTGAAAGATATTTTGATGTGCAATACATAAGGGCAGATTTTTGTATCAAAAACTACAAATAGCTTAGTCTATGGAGTTCTTGATGCTCTCTGAGCGTGGTGGTTTGTTTGCATTGATGATGCTATTTAGTTGGTAAGATATTCTCTTTTATTGGAGCTAAATCTATATTATCTTCCTCTGTAGAACTCCTAGTTACAACTATGCACCCAATATGGATAAGCATTGGATCATGCAATACACAGGGCCTATGCTTCCCATCCATATGGAATTTACAAATACCTTGCAACGCAAAAGACTTCAAACTCTGCTGTCAGTTGATGATTCCATGGAAAGGGTAAGCAAATAAAAATGCTTAAAGCCATTCTGTAGTATTACATTCTGAATATTGCTGTAGTAGTAAATCCTTGTCCCAGAATTCTACTTACATTCCATTTTTATATGAATACCCCAATTTTTATTCCATTCATTCTTTCAGCAGTACTGATTGAGCGGCAAACCAAGTACATAAAAAAGAGTAAGATTTCTTCTGGTAAAATAGATAGCATATATACAAGGGATATGTAGTGAAGCATTGTAGAATACAGGTAGTCTGAACCTTATGATCATAACTGAGCCCAACATTTCTGTTGCTAAGCGAAGCAGTTGTTAAGAGAGTTGTGCCTCATTTTATGACCTTTTTTGTCATAGTGGTTAACTAAATCACTATAGTTGTTAAGTGAATCATGCGGTCGTTAAGCAAATCTGGCTTCCCTCATTGACTTTGCTTGTTGTAAGTCAGCTGGAAAGGTTGCAAAAAGGTGATCACATGATCCTGAGACAGTGCAACTGTCATAAATACATGCCAGTTGCCAGGAGTCCAAATTTTGATCACATGACCATGGTGATGCTGCAATGGTCATAAATGTGAAAAATGATCATAAGTCACTTTTTAGCGCTGTTGTAACTTCAAATGATAACTAAACAAAGGTGGTAAGTTGAGCATTACCTGTATGAGTCCCTCCGTATTCTGTACTAATTTAAAACATTCTGTAATAGAAGCTTCATTGGGTTGTTTGAAATATTTCGTTCATTCATTGCAAATAGTTTGATATTTCATTTCAGGTGATGAAAAATAAAGACAAAAAAGTTAAAAGAATTGTATTCAAACACATCTAAAGAGATTTTCTGTGTCAGTGCTATTCTCTAAAGTTTAATTTTACAGTCACAGTTGCTTGTTTTGCAGCTAAATAGATTCATATGACCTGGAGAATATCAGAATTGCAGAGACCTATAAAAGCTTCCCAAGGTGTACCTAAAATGGAAAACATGGTTTCTTTCAAGCCTGAAACAAACAGCCCCATTTGAAATAATTCAATAGAACAAAACTCAAATCAGTTTCAGTCTCTCATCATATCAAGCTTAAAATAAGTTGTATGCTGTGGGATTCCATGAGACAATGAGAACTTGGAATCAGATCCTTATTGCCTTTTCAACTTTTCATCCAAGGTCCGTAAAATGAGGACCCAAGATTGTTGGGGGCAATATGCTGATTGGGTAAACTGCTTAGAGAAGCTGTAAAGCACTGTGAAGCTATATATAGAGTAAGTCTAAGTGCTATTACTACTATGTTGCTTAATGGCCCAGGACCACAAAAGTAGGTGATTGCTGGCCAATGAACTTGCCTGAAGATTGGGGAAAGTGGCTATGAAAAACATTTAAAAATCTCATAAGAGAAGCAATTTTACCCAACCATTCACTTTAGAAAAGCCCTTAAGGTGTTCAGGAAAAACCACAAAAATCTTTGATTAAACACATCCCTGGGATGCTCAGCAACACAGTACAGGCCAAAGAGAGGAAGCTAGAAAGACTCATTGATATTCAACAGTTAGCAGCCAGCCTGCAATTAATGGTGAAAACTAACCAGCCAAGCTATAAGTAAGTAGCCTGACGCAGACATGGACAAAAGTTAATTTCTTATGGGTGCTTCCATTCCTATCAGGTTTGTTGTTTTACATTTAGTCAGGAAAAACCAAAGGTACAAATACAGATTGGACAAGACCTGGCTTAAAAACAGTAACTGTGAGAGAGGGACCTTGGAATCCTAGTGGACAATCAATTAACCATAAGCCAGCAGTGTGCAGCAGCAGCCAAAAAAGCTAATACACTCCTGGGTCGTATAAATAGAGGCATAGAATCAAGATCATGTAAGGTATTAGTACCGCTTTATAAAACCCTAGTAAGACCACACCTGGAATACTGTTTGGAAAAAATTCAGAGAAGAGCAACTAAGATGATCAAAGGCCTGGAGACTAAAACATACTAAAAACGGCTGCAGGACTTGGGTTTGGCTAGTCTAAAGAAAAAAAGAAATAGGGGAGATATGATAGCAGTATTCCAGTATTTGAGGGGTTGCCACAAAGAAGAGGGGATCACATTATTCACCAAAGCACCAGAGGGCAGGACAAGAAACAATGGTTGGAAACTGATCAAAGAGAGAAGCAACCTGGAATTAAGGAGACACTTCCTGACAGGGAGGACAATTCACTAGTGGAATAGTTTGCCTCCAGAAATCGTAGGTGTTCCATCACTGGAGATGTTTTAAAAAAGGCTAGACAGTCACTTATCTGAGATAGCATAAGTTCTCCTGCTTGAGCAGGGGGCTGGACTAGAAGACCTCCAAGATCCCTTCCATCTCTATTCTATTCTAAGACTGTTGTTACCTTTCCATATAATTTTAAGCTAAGCACTGTTTGCTACTTAAAATGCTTAATTATAATTCTCACAGAAAAGAAACAGAATATTGGTTGAGCATAAAACAAGACCAGAATGTTTTCTGAAAACTCTGATTAAGCAACAGTTGGAACAGTTATATGCCCATGTATTTATTTGCATTTGATTGTATATTTACAAACATATATTACTCACAATCACAACTGAACCAACAAAAGTTAAACATAAGAGAAATCAAAAGCTCATTAAACAATTCCAAGTGTCAGTCAGTGTATTTTTGAATACACCCTGAAAACTCAGCTTAGAACCAGTCATATCAGCTTGCACCGACTGCCCACTTCCAAACTGGCTCAACAAATCATCCAAAGCAAATTAATCTTAGCAACATTATTGCACAAAGCCTCTTGCTCACTAGCACACATATTATTTTCTATTTACCTGCCTACTATCCATACCATGAATTTAAATTTCACCATAGCAGACTTAATTTAAAAAACAGCAATAGTTTACTTACCAAATTGGCAGGCAGTGGCATGAAGTTGTTAGGTGTCTTTTTCCTCTGACTAGACTATGGCCAATTCTGCTGCTGCTGAGAGAATCATGTCTATATCTTTAAGGCAATAAATAAGTGTGTGTGGTCTCAGAGCCAGTGTGTTTTATCTTACCAAATGATTAGCAACCAGAGTCCAAAAGCACCATCATTGAATATGCATAATAAGGGTGGGAAGCCCTTCAGAGTAGATCAGTCTAGGAAACCAATGTTTCATAGGTCAGTACTACTTTTATTGTAAAGCTACAATAATAGAATCTTACAAGTCTGAATGCATTCTCCCCTCCTTCCCCTTATCTTCACGTGAACTAGGAAAGGGCTTGTTTAAGACTTTTATTCACATTAAATTCTTGGCCTGGCCTCAGGCTTCTTTTCTCTGTTTCTTTGAGAGCAGCTCTTCCTTCTTCCCTCTACATCTAGTGCTAGACAAAGGTGAGTTGGTATCAGAAGAACAGCTTTCATGGGGCACCAATAACCATATATGGATAGGGAATGATGATTAAGTGGTCAATGGTCTTCTAATAAGAGCTCTGAGCTGCTGATTGGATCAACAGTCAGTAGCCCTGTTCTCTGTTGTGATGGGTGAAGAGTCTATTTCCTGGCCCTGGACTTTGCCTTGACGTCTTCCATTATGATGCTGGTGTACCACAGGAAGACTGTACTATTAAATCAAACCTCTGTGCAGTTGTTTTCTCCCCATCCCTGAATTCAGCAAATTTTGAATTACTCCTTTCTGATTAATATCTCTCTCTTTAGCTATTCTTCTGCCTCTTCCAATCATAGCTTTGGAGAGTAGAGTTTTATGTGGCTGATAAACTGGATCTTGTTATCTAGACTTAAACTGGAGGGGGGCTGTAAATGAAATAAAAATAAAAAACAAAAAGAAAGGATTCTATGTAACTTGTACGTTGTTTCTTTATGTGTGAGAGATCTGAAAAGCAGGAAAAAGCATCTAATGCTTACTATACTACCTCGTAGTGAAGTATAAGCTCACTAAAAAGCAACAATCTACTAAACTAGAAGGAGATCAGGGAGATGGGGTTGTTTTGAAGGCAGACAGCCTGATATGCTCACCAAGTTTCAGCCGTTCCCCTCTTTCACTGGGCTAGCAAAATGAATGACTACTTTTCCTTAAGTGCCCTAAAGATGTTTCAGACCAGACAAGCCAAAGTCCTGCTGTTGAATTGGTAAGCTAGGAATTTAAAAGAAAAATCCTCAGCACCAAAGTCCAATTTTCACTCTTATAATGGTTGAAAGACTCAATTGTTTCAGCCTTCAAATAGACTAGTTCTATTCCAAGATCAGGACAAACTACTGTGCTTTGTTCCAATCTGGAAACAATTGATGAAATGCATGCATTTTGTTTGAAGCTTCAAGCCTTAAAAATGCGCATTTCAATACTGCTATATATCTGATGGAATTTGTATCTCTTCTAGAAGCATATGGTGAATGTTTGATGATTGCTGGATTTTAATTAGTTTATTAATGACATGGCCCTAACGGACTTGTTTAAATGTAAATTTTGTGTGCATTTGTAACGATTGATTTAGCATTGATTTGCATTGATTTTTTTCCATTTATTGCATTTCAGTTATATCATATGCTAGTGGAAACTGGAGAACTGGAGAATACTTACATTATTTACACTGCTGATCATGGTTACCATATTGGACAGTTTGGACTGGTCAAGGGAAAGTCAATGCCATATGATTTTGATATTCGCGTTCCTTTCTTTATTCGTGGTCCAAGTATAGAGCCGGGATCAGTGTACGTTCTCCTATGTCTGCAGCACAGCTGTTGTACCTAATGTAAAATATTTGTAAGCACATTTGATTGTCATTCTTGTGGATGATTTCTTTCATCAAGATTATTGCAAAGCATGAACAAAGAAGAGTATCTTTTTGTTACTTTGGAAATGTTATTCTTTCCAAAGTTTGCTAGAAGTATAATGGCATATTCCTTTTTATTGTTATAGCCCCATACAGTTATTTTGTTGCTTGCTGCTAAGACTGTAATGGGGTCATGTGAGGATATATTTCACTTACTGTGGTTTTACTGGTATATAAATATTTAGCCACGAGTCTGCTGACTCAAGTAGCATGGCTGCTTTATCTCATTGCATAACTTAGTACATCCTGAAATTAGAGTGCCTCATCCTAATCCACTGTCCGGTAAGGGAAACTTGGAAGAAACTTGAAACTGCCATTGCATACAATGTTGTCTTAAGGTGCCACACTTTTATAAAATAACACTCAAATTCTTTTAATTCTACAAAGATTTAAGATGTTTCTTCTAATGTGCATAATACAGCTCTGACCTTTTCTATTAATTTGCAGAGTATCTCACATGGTGCTAAATATTGACCTTGCTCCAACAGTTTTGGATATTGCAGGACTTGATACACCTCCAGATATGGATGGCAAATCTATTCTAAAACTTCTGGACCTTGAGAAATCAGGGAACAGGTGAGCTGAAGCACTTTCTTGAAGCCTATTCGTTAGCAAATACCTGAGTTAGATTGTAAAGATGGAAAATGAAACATGTTAGACAAGTACAAGTGACCCTTGCTTTCCCAGCACACAAAACAATTTTAAAGATCATATTTATAAAATTGTGGAAGTTGTGACTAAATATTTCACTTGGAGTAAAAATAAATTAGTCATCTTTAAATGCATAGCCAGACATAGCCATGAATGCCAACAGTATATTATTGTTATTTTGATTTTAGGTTTCGAACAAACAAGAAAACCAAAGTTTGGCGTGATACATTCCTGGTGGAAAGAGGGTAATTATTGAAGTTGAGAGAGTTTTAGGAAAATTGCCTGGTGGGCAATTCTGTCAATTTTTGTATGCAGGCACATCCTTTGTTCGATCTTGTTTTGCTACTATTAACAGTGCAGGTTGTGAAGCTCATTCCTTGCCATGCCAGGTTGACCTGAACTGTAAAAGAAAATTGCCTTGGATGCTTTAGAGAATGGGAAGAAGGCAAAACAGAAACAATATTTGGGCCTTTTCCTCTAAGACTTCACTGGGTGTGGACTGCTTTCCATCTCCTCAGTTTTGGTAATACAAACTTTCTCCAATGGCACCCTTCAGGAACTGAGGAAAAGAACAAAACAGCAAAACACACAATTTAATAAGAATGAAATTGGTTTAGTTTTAGGACTGCACTGTTCCTCACAAGCCAATATGCCTAGAGAAAGAATCTGCTCCCCCCCTCTCTTATTTTTACTCCTATGGCAAAAGACACTGCTGGTTTGTATCTTTTCATCCTTCCTCGAGTCAGATATTATCACAACTGAAGTACATAAGAAGGGTCCTGCCAAAGTATATGGGCTGAGGAAGGAATCCTTACAACTCTCAGCAGCTTCCATGTTAAAAGCTTGTGGTGAACAAGCCTAGAGAGATCATCCTATGCAGTACTAAAGGCAAGACCAGATGCCAACTCTTACTCTGCCCTTTTTTCTTTGCCTGTGCCAAGAAACGATAGAAAGGAAGGCAAATGTCATATCCCTGTTTGATTTTATCCTGCATATTTTAATGTAGAACCTTTCTTCTACCCATGTATTCTCTCATTAAGAGACAACAAATGCATGAAATCTGAATCTTGCCAGTCACCTTTGTCCTTCATATACAAGTACATATACATGTTCTACACTAAAATATGTTTCCCCTCCAGTGTTCAGATCTCCCTGCAAAATGTGGAAATCTACATTGGAAAGAACTGAGCATACAGAAGGTCTTTTTAGATGTTCTTGTGAACATGTATAAATCATATAAGACAGCTCAAAGATCTCTTTAGGCCAGTGATTCTCAGCCTTTGGCAACTTTAAGATATGTGGACTTCAACATGGAGGCTGGGGAATTCTGGGAATTGAAGTCCACCCATCTTAAAATTGCCAAGGTTGAGAAACATTGTTTTAGATCAGGGGTAGTCAACCTTGGCTCTTTTATGACTCGTGGACTTTAACTCCCAGAATTCCTGAGCCAGCTGTGCTGGCTCAGGAATTCTGGGAGTTGAAGTCCACGAGTCATAAAAGAGCCAAGGTTGACTACCCCTGTTTTAGATTAAAGCTTTTCTCATGTCTCACCCTGACCTGTATTTCAAATGCATTGCATTTTAATTCCCTGATAAACAAATGACAGTCCTTGTTTATTTACTTCCGCTTCATAGGCACTTCTGTTTTGATTCATGCATATTATTCACACATACTCAAAAGTACTGCTTCTTTTCTTTTTAAAGCAAATTTTTGCGTAAGAAAGAAGAATTGGGCAAAAATACCCAGCAGTCAAATCATTTGCCTAAATATGAGAGAGTAAAAGAATTATGTCAACAAACACGATACCAAACAGCTTGTGAACAACCTGGCCAGGTAAGCAGCAGATAATGCAGTGATTAATTTGATAATACATTTCATAGGGACCAGCTTTTTAAGAGACTACCTATCAAGGAAAATCAAGCTTTTGATACTGTGCGCCATACCATGTGCACTAATCAGACAGGGGGTAAAGAAGAAGGGAAACTCAGACACAAAACCGGTTAAGTAGAAAGTAAACAGGGTCAGTGAAAAAGGAGTCAAATGTCTATACATCAACCCACAAAGTATGAGGAATAAGCAGGGTGAACTAGAAATTCATGTGAGGGTAGTACGTGAGGGTAAATATGATATTGTTGTCATTACAGAAACTTGGTGGGCTGAAACCATGAATGGAACATATAGCTATAGGGATTTAAATTGTTTTAAAGAAACAGACCTAATAAAAGAGGAGGTGGAGTTATGTTATACATAAGAAATAACTACTTATGTATAGAAATAGGGCAGAACAATGATGAAAATTGTCTTGAATACATTTGGGTCAATATCAAAGAAAAAAAGAATGATATTGCTATAGGTTTATATTATAGGCACCCAACCAAACAGAGAAAATAAATGAACTTTTTGCTAGTCAGTTAACTAAGGTATGTAGGAAGCACAATAGTAATAGGGGACTTTAACTACCTTGACATCAACTAGGAGACAAACTCTGCACCAAGTGCAGAATTGCAATTCTACATCAAACAGGTTCCAGACAAACCTAGCAAACAACTTTGTCTCCCAAAAAGTAGAGAACAGAACTAGGGGGTCAGCCATATTGGACTTTATTCTCACTAACACAGATGAAATGATAGAAGATGAAGTTACAGGAACCTGGAAGGGGAGTGATCATGCAATATTGGAATTCAACATTATGCAAGCACAAGCAATAGAACAAAATTAAACTAGAGACTTGGACTTTAAGAGAGCTGATTTCAATAAACTTAGAGAGATCTTGGGAAAGATTCCATGGATGAGAATCCTCAAGGGAAAAACAACCCCAAAAGCTTGGGAAATTTTGAAACGTGAGATTATAAAAACACAGTCTACTCACAATTCCAAAGAAGAAGAAAAAAGATCTCAAAAGAAACCAGCATGACTGCACAAAGAACTGTCTGATAAATTGAAAGACGAAAAGGACAAGTATAAAAAGTGGAAAGAGGGGCACATAACTAAGGCAGAATGTCAGCAAATAGCTCATGCCTGCAAAGAGGAAGTCAGGAAAGGTAAGGCTCAAAATGAACTAAGGCTTGAGACAAAAGTCAAAAATAACAAAACAAAACCTTCTTTCAATATGTACCAGAAAGTAAATGAAATATTCTTGGTCTAGCCATTTCCAATCTTCTTCTGACCGAAAACAATCATCTATTGATAATTATGCAATCCATAACTGCAATATTAAGTTGGAAAAAAAGGAAGTTGATAAATTCCAGGTAGGGAGATACACACTGGCATCTGAGATTGTTAAATGGAATCTTCTTGTTAACTCTTGATTACTAATCAGACTGAGAGGGGTGTGTGTGACATGATGGCAGCTATAAAAAAAATGGGAAAATGTTTTACATTGTTTTTGTTAATTCATTTGCTGCTTTTCAAAATGCTGTTTTTTTCTCCAAAGACAATATACATTTTTATTTTGATTCATTCTTCTCTTAAATGTTTCTCAGCATGTCACAAATTTTCAGCACTAAAAGCACTGCTGCAATTAATCAAGCAGCATATAGAACTTTAGACACGTAGAATGTAGCTTAATGGATGGTTTTGCTTGCTCACAAAAGGAGTCTTCATTCCCAGTCTGAGAAGGTCATTTTATGGAAGTCCACAGTATAGTGAAAAAAGACTTCCGCTGATAAAAGCTAGGCAGAAGTAGTTATTTAGAAAAGTCTCAAGAACCCACAAAAAGCATTTAACATTATTATTCTTCATAAAAACACCACTGATCTCAATACAGCTCTGTAATATTACTCAGTTATATTAAACCATATGAAGCATTATTATCAGTCTAAAGTCCAGATTCTCAGTGTGTGTGTGTGTGTGTGTGTGTGTGTGTGTGTGTGTGTGTGTGTGAAAGAGACAATGATGGCAAGTTAATGCATTTCCCCCACTATTATATACTAGCTTGTAGGATGAAGGGTAGCACAGGAAAGACTTCATAAAATCTTGTGGTATGCAAGAAAATGTATATGCATCAGTACATGTGTACATTTCTATCACACCATTATTTAAGGGGCTAAGTAACATTATGCAAAACATAAAAAAAGGAGTATAGAAGGTGTAAGTACAATAAATTTTAAGCACAAGATAAGGGAAACATAGCTAAAACTAGTTTACACCAACATATCTCACTGATGTATTCCTCCTCATTGCCTTTCTATGCTTGCAAACCATCTTTGTCTCAGTCACCTTCATTTATACACAGTTTCTTACTTTTCTTTTTCTTAAGCTTCTTTCTTTTTGAGGAGTTTATCAACTCCAACTACCATGATTTTCTCAACCTTCCCTTTCATCTCACCCCATTACTCAACCTTCTCACTTACACACACACACACACACACACACACACACACATTCACAAGTCAATCATTGTAACATACTTATTTCCATTAGTCACTTTCCATTAGTCACTTTCTTTTAAAGGTAGTCTTTGAGTTATGAGTCATTGGGGGATGCTGGCAAGAAGTTGCAAGTCCCACTTAACTTATAAGCAGGTTGGCAGTCAAATAAATGACTGCTGCTGGCAAAAAAAATGCACCAGTGTGTGCAAATAGCAGGGGAGCCATGGCATGAGCTCAGCAGGGCTTGGGATGGCTGTTGCCAGATGGGGGGAAGTATGTGATGGTGTGTGAGTGAGCAGGGGACATGGTGCAAGTGGAAAGGGGCTGGGTGCATGGGTGGGGAGGACTTACCCAAACAACTTGCAGTCTTCCCTACCATCTTGCCTATCGGCTTTGCTTGTTTCCTTTGCCAGCAAGGAAGGTTGTCTTGTGAAAAAGCACTTTTGGGACAATCATGACCTGGATGACTGAGAATCTCCATAGACAGTTGCAAATTACAGTCACAATATGTGGGCGCTGCAACCATCATAACTGCAAGCTGGTTGCCAGGCACCCAAACTTAATCATGTGATTGTGGGGGTGCTGGGACAGCTGGAACTTTGAGAACTGGTCACAGCCACCTCTCATTCAGTGCCTGTGTAACTTTAAACAGTCATGATTGAATGGTTGTTATCAGGGACTAACTGTGTATTCAATCTACCTTCACTCCGCATTTGTTCATTCTTGACTAGTCTCTTTTGTCACATATTAAAGTGCAGACCAAGTTGAGGATATTTAAGTCTTGCTGAATCCTCTGAACATGTTCTTTATTCAATGTTGCACTTTTTATGTCTTGGCAGTCAAACTTTCCAGCATATTTAAAGCTTGAAATTGTCAGGTGGCAATGTTTCTTTCGCTAACCTTCAGGCGTGCCTATCATTGAGACATATTTTGTAGGCAATGTAATTAATTTCCTTATTACACGAAAGGCTTTTGTGGCTGTCTCAAGCTGTCACAGCATATTAAATAAACGGTGTTCACTTTTTAGACTTCAGTGGGACATTTATTGCACTTTAATGATGTTGAATACAAAGCTACATTAACACTCTTACAAAAACCAATAAAGGGAGTGCATCATAATCTACCTCATGTGGTTTATTGCAAATGTTTCCAGAAATATGTTTGTCACCATTGGTTCTCTGTAATTTCTTCAATAGATAGGAAAGATTTTTTTCAGATAGCTTAGTCTGTGAGAATAATTTCAGAACAGAATTTAGCAGGAGGATAGAAGCACAAGGTCCAGGATTATTCTGAAAAAAGCAGCAATATCAGAAAGTTACTATACATACAGTCAAGATAAACATACCTATATATTACATCTATAACTTCTTTAAGTTTCATGGTCAAAATTAAGCATTAGGTTTCTATGAGAAAATCCCTATTTTTGCTGTTCTAATGTGGTTCTCTATAATATAAAAATAATTTGCCTATCTCCAACAGGAGTTGTGAAAACATCAATGATAAATGAATAAATTCAAATTTTAGCAAATAGCAATGCTTTATCACTTTGGTACTGGAATTATCTTTCCTCACTTCTACATCCTCCTTTTACAACATAAATCTACCCAGTATTCCTCCACATGATTGATATGAATGTATTACTTTTATATTGGAGCATTAGTTACCTGTCTATTTTCTGAAAATTATATATAGTATTCTGGCAGTCCCAACTAGTATCTTCAATATTCATAGTGGTATCCTGTTTACTCAGGGTGCCTCCTCATCAAGGGTGAAGTCACCAGATGAGTGTTTTATCTATTTAACTCAAGAACTGCTAAGCACCAGATTAGAGCTATAAATTTCCTTCATACTAGTTCTTTTGTTGGGCTAATTAAAAGTGGTGATAGGTGCACCATTCAAAGATCTGAAATACCAAGTTAGGGACAGATCCCCCTAGGGAAAATGTATCTATATAGTCATGAGAGTTGACACTGACTTGCTGGATCAAACATTTTTGCTAATGATGTAGCTTCCTAGTTACCATGAACAAATCACATCTCACTGAATAGAGATGTAACTTTATAAAATAAATTACTACTTTTCTACTAGAATTATTTTTCCACTAGTACGGTAGCTATGAATCCATCGTTCTCAGGATAAAGAAACTTGTATGCATCGAAAAACATTAAATTATGAGCAGAGTTCTGCCGACCCCTTTTGGTAACAGCAAGAAGTGCAGTCTCAACTTTTTCAAATCAAAGGCTTTCCATACTGCTACTTCTGAAAAACTGCAGATTTGTATGGTGCAACCATACCTCTGCTCTGTGTCTTTTTCATTGGCTACAGAACCCAGGGATATGTACATGTCTCATTTTTGGAAACTTAGCAAGTGTGGTTTATTAATTGTTTAGAAATTTCATCAAATTCTGCCAAAACAAACCCAAAACTAAAATGAAGTTTAAAGGGACACAAAAATCATGCAAGTACTTTTTAAATTTGGTAAATTATAAATGTATCCTCTCAGCAAACTTCACCTGAAGGACTTACACCTTGTTTGTATTTCCTTTTTAAAAAACGAATTTGCCTAAAAACATTTTATTTATTTATTTATTGTTATAAACAGCATAAGAAGGGTGGAGTATAGTCATTTAAAAACCAGAAGATAAATCAGAGTAAAAATAAAATTCTATATTTTTAAAAGCTATAAAATATAAAAGATATATGAATTTAAAAAACAAAGTATATATAGAAACAAGACTCTAAAAGAAACTTTAGATGGGGTATAGGGGACTTTAAAATGTTAACACAGTATGTGGAAGTCTATGTCAAGTTACAGAGCATTAAGATATAACAAACTAGGTGCTGATTAAATCTAGTTTATAACACTGGTCATCATCTGACACATTTTGAGTGCTGTTTTGCACAAAATCTGGTATGTTGTAGCAGGGTTATTTGAAAGCAGCAGGAAGGTGAAGAATTGCCCTGTGCATCCTGGATATCTATGCAGTTATGGTAAGATGAGGCTAGTATGAATGCCACTGTAGTACATAGATTAATGTTCAAGATGCAAAAAAAGAAATACATGCTTTCTAGGATATTATTGCCATCTATGTTTCACTGGACTGTCTTTTTCTTTTTCTGCAGAAATGGCAGTGTATTGAAGACACATCTGGAAAACTACGTATTCACAAATGCAAAGGGGCCGGTGACGTTCTTGCTATGAGAAAAAGAACACGGAGTTTACATTCCCAGGGATATAGCAGCAAAGAAAATGACTGTGATTGCAGGGACGCTGATTATCAGACCAGTCGGGCCCAAAGGAAAAATCAAAGGGGTTTCATGAGGACCTCCAGTGTACAAAGTAGGTGATGATAGGTTTGGAAAAGCCAGGGATCTTGATGGGCAGCAATGCTAAAGAATCATTTGTTCCTTATAGGTTGAAAAAAAAAACTGCCAGTATTCAGACTGTATTCAGACTCACTTGTTAGAATGGGAATCCCATCTTTGAATTATCATCCTAAAAAAATGTTCAGGTGGTAATCTAGAAGAGCAAAGGTAAATTTTGTAAAGAATGTCTTGGTTTTACATTGCAGAGCATTCAAAAATTAAATTTCCCACCTGCAGAATTTGTGCAATTTATTTAGTAGCTCATTCTTCTATCTGCATAAAGCAAGTTCAAGTATGTTCTTTCTATACTAGCTATCTTTTAAAGACATAACTGACTTGAAAATTGCCCATCCAGTCCAGCCATCTAGAGAGGGCCTGCAGAAAGGCCTCGCAATGTACATTTGATATAGAGAAGATGACAACCTTTCTCAGTGGTAGCTCCCACTTTGTGGAATATCTTTCTGGTGGTTAAGGGACCCAATCTTTTTTGCATTTCACAAACTAGTGAAATTTGGAATGGCCCTAATTGATTCTGGACAGCCATTATAGACATTTTTATATATTGTTGTTTTCATTATTTTCATGTTGCATTCAAATCAGGGGTCTTCAAACTTGGCCCTTTTATGACTTGTGGAATTCAACTCACGGAATTCCTCAGCCAGGCACACTGGCTGAGGAATTCTGGGAGTTGAAGTCTACAAGACATAAAAGCGCCAAGTTTGAAGACCCCTGATTTAAATAATGTTTGCTTTGCTGTTAGCCACCAAGCGTCTGTCACGATTAGAAAGGATTACAATTATTTTTAAATAATAACTAAGAAATATAGTAAACCATCTTTAGAAAATCTTTGCCCTGAAATGCAGAATTGGAAATAACTATCACTATTTACATTATTTATATTCAGGGCTTTTTTTCTCGGAGAAAAGGTGGCGGAACTCAAACCTGGCCACGCCCTCATCAAACCCTAGGACCGCCCCTTTAGAGAACAGGAATGCAAGTAAAATTTGGGAGGGGCTATTTCCGGTGTGGGAGGGGCTATTTCCGGTGCGGCCGGCCCGGAAAAAGGTGCCGGAACGCGGTTCCGCCGCGTTC